ACAGTGGGTTGGGCCCTCCCACATCACTCAACAATCAAGAAGATGCCCCTCAGACATGGCCACAGTCCAGTCCAATAGAGGAAATTCCCCAAGTGAGGCTCCCTCAACCCAGGTGTGTCAAGTTGACACTAAATCTATCCAGCACACTACTTCATGAAATATACCCTATCACTTAGCATATGATAATTCTGACCTATGTCACAACATGAACAAGCCTGGAAGACATTCTCTACGTGACAGGAGAAAGTCACAGAAGGAACACTGTGTAAGTCTACCCATATAACATATCTAGAGTTGTCAAATCCATAGAGGCAGAAAGAATGTTGAGTGCCAGGGGCCAGGAAGGGGAAGGGGGTGTTTGTGTTTAATGGGAATAAGTTTCAGTTTGGAAAACAAGAAAATTCTAGAGATGGATGATGGTGATGGTTACACAACAGTGTGAATGTGCTTGGTATGATTCAAATATACACGTAAAAATGATTGATCTCTGCTGGTCGCAGCACATGCCTTTAATCCTAGCACTCAGGAGGTAGAGGCAGGTGGATCTCTGTGAGTTCAAGGCCAGGCTGGTCTACATAGTGAGTTCCATGACAGCTGGAGCTACAGGGAGACCCTGTCTCAAAAAGACCAAAAACAAACAAACAAAAATAAACATTGATCTCAAAAAAACTTGAAAAACTAAGATTGATCTCTAGGGACTGGAAAGATGGCTCAGTGGTTAAGACTTTCCTCACTCTTTCAGAGGACCTGGATTTGGTTCCCAGCACCCACATGGCAGCTAACAACCTCCCTAATTCCAGTTCAAGGGGATCTGATGCCCTCTTCTGGCCTCTGTGGGCACTGTACACATGAGTACACTTATCACATACATGCAGACAAAACACTCATACATATTAAGTAAAAACAAATTTTTTAAAAAAGAACAGAGAATACTGTAAAAAAATTAATTTTATAAAGTTGAGCTGGGCATGGTGGGACATACCTTTAATTCCAGCACTCTGGAGGCAGAGGCAGGCAGATCTCTGTGAGATTGAGGCCAATTTGGTCTACATAGTGAGTTCCAGGCCAGTTGGGGCTACAGGAAGACAGTCTCAAAAAAAAATATTTTTTTAACTCACAAATTCAAGGCCACCCTGGTTGACAGAATTAATTCCATGCCAGCCAGAGCTACATAGTAAGACCCTCTCTCAAAAACTGAAAAAAAAAAAGTTGGGGGTGGAGTAGTGTGTGTGTGTGTGCTTGTGTGCAGGTGCATGTGCGTGCACACACATGCTAGAGATATAGTTTAGATGGCAGAATGCTTGCCTAGTTTGCACAAATCCATGGGTTCCATCCCTAGCACCACATAAACCAGGTGTGGTGGTGCATGCCTGGGATTCCAGCACAGGTAGGTTGGAAACTCGAAGTTATCCCAGGCACATAGTAAGTTTAAGACCAATCTAGGTAACATGAGACCTTGTCTCCAATAAAATTAAGTAAAAACCGGTGAGATGGTTCTGCAGGTAAAGGTACTTGTTGTGCAAGCCTGGCAACCTGAGTTTGATTCCCAGAATCCATGTAAAGGAGGAAGAAGACTACAAAATTGTCCTCTGAGGGCTAGCATGATGGTGCATGCCCTTTAAATCCAGCAATCAGGAGAGGCAGGGGAATCCCTATCAGTTGGAGACCAGCCTAATCTAGAGTTCCATGCCAGTCAGAGCTATACAGTGAGACCCTATTTCAAAACAAAACAAGAGAAAAACAAATAAAAAAATCCTCCTCAAAGTCTTCCTCTGACCTACACATCTATACATACACACACACACACACACACACACACACACACACGAGGGCAGGAATATATCATGCACATGTGTGTGTGCAACCATGCACGCATACACACATACAATACATAGTATGACTCTCAAGAATTAAAATGTGCTAGGCATGGTGGCACACGCCTTTAATCCCAGCACTTGGGAGGCAGAGGCAGGCAGATCTCTGTGAGTTCGAGGCCAGCCTGGTCTACATAGCGAGTTCCAGGACAGCTGGGGCTACAGAGGAGTAGGGGAAGGAGGGGGGTGAATATGACCAAGACACATTGTATAAAATTCTCAAAAAATAAAAATATTATATTAAAAAAAATCACGGAGTCCTGTTTGAGGCATAGCATACACCACAGTGACAGAATACAGGGAGGAAAGCCATGTTTCTATTCTGAGCTGACCTTAAGGATAATCTATCTTTGCTAACTCTAAGAAACCAGACCCTGAGCTGGAGGGATCTGAGAACAGGAGCACTCACCAGCTTCGTGTCTGACTTAACTGCCTAGCTCACTTGCAGTCAGTCTCTTATGAACCTAGGCCCCTGCACATGCTGTACCCTACCTACTCCCTGTGGTCTACCATGTCTCACTTGTTCCTCTTCAAAAGAAATAGGCATTTGTTTACTGATTTTAAATTTTTATTTTACGTGTATAAGTGTTTTGCCTGCATATATATAAGTGCACCATGCACCTGTGTGCAATGTTCACAAAGATCAGAAGAGAGGAATTGGAGCCCCTGGAAATGGAGTTAAGGATGGTTGTTAGCCACCATGTGGTGTCCTCTGGAAGAAGAGCAAGCCAGTACCATTGGTGGCTCTTAACCACTGAGCCATTGCTCCAGCCCTGTAACTTCTTCTGCTCTGCTTTGGAGCTGGAGAGCTGTTGGGTGGACTCATGAGATCCGAAGACCCTAATTCAGAAACCAGAGGGAGCCTCCACCCCATGTCCCCCATCCCTCCACCCCCCACGCACTACCAAGCTAGCTGCTCTTGGTGATTGGTATGAACAATGCTCAGGATAAACACAGGTTGAGGAGTCTGGTACCCAAGAGCTACAGAACAGATGGATGAGGCAGTTGCCCTTACCTCCTCTGGGGGCAGTGCACACTGCTGTACGATGTAGTCAATCATCACCTCACCTCCGGGCTGCTCCAGGTAGCCATGGTGGGCCATGGCACTGATCACCTGCACCACAGCCCGTTTTACCTGACCAGAACCAACCGGTCATTAAGGTGCCACAGATAAGGAACAAACCTAACTTACGCAACACCTGCACCTATACCTGCATTTGCACCTGCACCTACACCTGTACTCATACCCATACCTTTTTTTTTTTTTTTTTTTTTTTTTTTTATCTTTTTGAGACAAAGTCTCCCTGTAGCCCCAGCTGTCCCGGAACTCACTATGAAGACCAGGCTGGCCTTGAACTCACAGAGATCCACCTGCCTCTGCCTCCCAAGTGCTGGAATTAAAGGCATGTGCCACCATGCCTGGCCCACCCCCCACACCTATTTTTATACCTACATCCAAGCCTATAACTACACTTGCACTCCCATACCTGTACGTAAACCTGCATTTGCACCCACATCTGTACCAGCACCCACACCCACACCCACACCCACACTGTAGTGTGCCAGGTTAACCCATCTATTATCATGGTGATCCAAGCTAACTTGTCTACTTTACCTTGCTGTTGGTGTCCAGAAGAGGAAGCCTCATGGAAGATAGGATAAAGGGTTGCTTAACTTCCATTTGAGAAGCTGTAAGAAACAAATGAGATGGCTTAGTCCCAACTAACCAAGACCAGACATCCTGTCCTCCTCCACTTTGAAGTCTAGGCCTCAAGGGATCTGGCTCCACTCAGTCCTCATGTGGGAAGAGGACATGGCATAAACCTATTACTCTGAACATTCCACCTCACAATCCTCATCTCTCTCCTAGAAAATATTAAATTATACCAGTTTAGAGTTGGATAGAAACAAGATTCATTGCTGTATCTCTAGCTTTGACAAACAATAAATGGGATGATGACTAAAATAACAATTTTAGAAAGTTAAGAGAGGAGCCAGCAGGCAGCTCAGTGAGCAAAGGTGCTCGCTGCCAAGACTGATGACCTGAGCTCCATCCCTGGGACCCACAAGGTAGAAGGAGAGAACGAACTCCTGCAAATTGTCCTCTGACCTCCAGCTCCCTCACCATGACATTCACAGACACACACACACACACACACACACACACACACACACACACATATATTGTGTGTATGGTAATATATATATATATATATCCCCATACACAAAATAAACAAATGTAATTTTAAGTTTTTTTAAGCTAACAGGTTGGTTGTTGAGGGCAGCAAATAGAAAACTGAACTGCATCAGTCACCAGACTTGTTAAATCAAGCAGTAAGTCTGACACAACAGGTTTTGGGAGAGCCAAGCACTTCTCACATTGTCCAAGTGAGCACTGCTGTTGGTCTGGGACTCCCTCTTACTGAGAGCCAACTATACAACCCTTAATATCCTAATATTTAAAAGTGGATTGGCTAGCTGGGCATGGTGGTGCACACCTTTAATCTTAGCACTCGGGAGGCAGAGGCAGGTGGATTTCTGTGAGTTCAAGGCCAGCTTGGTCTACATGGAGAATTCCAGGCCAGCTGGGGCTACAAGGAGACCCTGTCTCAAAAAGACCAAAAAAAAAAAAAAAAAAGCCATTAAAGGGGCTGGAGAGGTGGCTCAGTGGTTAAAAGTACTGACTGTTCTTATAGAGGACCTAGGTTTAGTTCCTAGCACCCACATGGCAGCTAACAACCATCTACAACTCCAGTTCCAGAGGATCTGATATCCTCTTCTGGCTACCATGAGTATGGCAACATGGTACACTTATATGTAGGCAAAACACTCTACAGATAAAAATAAATTAGAAAAAAATTTAAAGTCCATTAAAGGTAGGCTTCGTAGTACATGTCTTTAATCCTAGCACTTGGGAGGCAGAGGCAGGCCAGGCTCTGTGAGTTCCAGGCCAGCCTCTACATAGTGAGACCAAAAAAAAAAAAAAAGGGCCATTGTGGCATCACATACACTAAAACTGGAAAGATCATCAGCATGACCCTGTGCAATGATGACCCTCAAATTATGAAGCATTCCACATTTTTATACAGTGGATTTCAGTTGGTTTTTTTTTTTTGGTCTTTTTGAGACAAAAGTCTCCCTGTAGCCCCAGCTGTCCAGCTGTCCTGGAACTCACTATGTAGACCAGGCTGGCCTCGAACTCACAGAGATCTGCCTGCCTCTGCCTCCCCAGTGCTGGGATTACAGGTGTGCACCACCATGGTTTTTTTTTTTTTTTAAAACAGTATTTTATTATTTTTATTTTATGTGTATGAGTGTATTGCCTACATGTATGTGAGTGCACCCGTGTCCTGCAATGCCTTGGAGGTCAGAAGAGGGCTTCGGATTCCCCTGGAACTGGAGTTAAGGACAGTTCGTAGCCACCATGTGGGTGCTGGGACTCGAACCCGGGTCCTCTGCAAAAGCAGCCAGTGCTCTTAACCTCTGAGCCATCTTTCCAGACCTGGATTTCAGTTTTTATGAAATGCTTTTGTTATTTTGTCAATAAAATAAAGACAACGATTTTTTTTTTTTTTTTTTTTTTTTTTTTTTTTTTTAAAGAGGTTTTCCCTCTCACCCCACATGTCCTGGAACTCACTATGTAGACCTGGCTGGCCTCGAACTCACAGAGATCTGCCTGCCTCTGCCTCCCCAGTGCTGGGATTATAGGTGTGCACCACCATGCCCAGCGATTTTTTTTTTTTTAATGGGCATTAAGAAGTGTTTGTTGGGGCCAGGTATGGTGATGCATGCCTTTAATCCTAGCACTCAGGAGGCAGAGGCAGGCAGATCATTATGATTCAAGGCCAGTCTGGTCTATAGAGTAAATTGCAGGCTAGCCAGGGCCACAGAGTGAGACCCTGTCTCAAAAACAAAACATAGGGCCAGTGAAATGGCTCAGTGGGTAAAGATGCTTGCCACTAAACCTGATGGCCTGAGTTCCATCCCCAGGTCCCACATGGTAGGAGAGAACTGACTCCTGAAAGTTGTCCTCTGACCTTCACACGTGTGCCACGGCAAGCACAACCCTCCTCTTCCTGAAAATTAAATAAATAGATGTAGTTTTTAAAAAACAAAAGCAAGGGCTGGAGAGATGGCTCAGAGGTTAAGAGCATTGGCTACTCCTGCAGAGGACCCAGATTTGATTCCCAGCACTCACATGGTGACTAACAACCATCCGTAACTTCAGTGCCAGGGGATCTCCCACCCTCTTCTGATCTCTGCTGGCACTGCGTAACATGGGTGCACTTATATACATGCAGACAATACACTCATATATGTAAAAATAAATAAGATATATTAAAAAAAACAAAAACAAGACAAAAAAATAAGTGGTTGTTGCTGGATGTGGTAGGAAGTTCCTATAATGTTAACACTCAAGAGGAGGCAGGACAGTCATGAGTTCCAGGCAAGCCTCAGCTACACAACAAGTTCAGTCTGGATGACATAGTGAAACCAGGTCCCAAACAGCAAATAAATAAATAAATAAATAAATAAATAGTGACTCCCAAGCTCCACAAAGTGGTGTAGCCTGTATTTTTAGCAAACGGAAGGTTGACTCAGGAGGCTAGTGAGTTCAAGGCCAGTATATGCTACAGAGCAAGACCCTGCTTCAAAAACAGGAAGGGAGGAAGGGGGAGAAAAGAAAGAAAGAGGGCACAGTGCATAATGTAGGCAGTATGCTGCACATGGTAGCGCTTTCATTATGTAGACAGTCCAGGAAGAAAAATGTCATCCTGATCCCAATTTCACAAACCAGGATCCTGTACCCACATGCCACACAACCCTCAGAGCACAAGCTCCTAGAGCAGAGAAAGGTAGAGCCCAAGGGAGAGGACTGAAGCCTAGAGGGAGCACTAGCTTGTCTCCAGTGCCACAGCCCCACGCCCATTGGACCCAGGTCCCACTCCGAAAGCCCCTACTCTGTCCTAACCCCCTCAGGAGCCACCACAACAAAGCCTGGTAAGGGTCCTGGTGGTAATAACATAAAACACAGGAGAATGAGATGTGTGCTACACAAGCTCAGAAAAACACAAATTCTAAATATGACCTGAGGTAAGTTAGAAGTTTAGAAGATGTTGTTGAAGGAGTCTTATGAGCTCAGAGCTGAGAAGTGGAAAGAAAAAATGATGGTAGTCTGAACTTCTGTTAATGGAGACTAAAGACAGTCACCAGGAGGAGGGGCAGCTTCAGCGCTGCAGGTGGTACAACGCCAGTGTCTGACCTGTGCACTTAAAAATGACCAAAAAACAATTACATACAATGTGCATGTCAGCACAATTAAAAACAAAACCTGCACTGGAGTTGTTGCTAAGCTAGCAGGATGGTTGTCCTCCTTGCTGTGTGGGACCTGGTTTCACTATGACATCCAGACTGAACTTGTGTAGCTGAGGCTCGCCTGGAACTCATGACCATCCTGCCTCCTCCAGGGTTAGATTCCCCAGCACTGAATACACCCAGGTGTGGGGTGCCCCCTGTAGAGTCAGAAGGATCAGGAGTTCAAGGTCATTCTCAAATACATAATTCAAGGACACTGTCTCAAAAAAAAAGGCCACACTTCCAGAGACTTAAATATATTTTATACACATATTACTGTTTACATATAAACAAATCTATAAGGTTAAATATGTACCTACCTCTTAAAAGTAGGCAGAGTTGGCCAGGCGTGGTGGCACACACCTTTAATCCCAGCACTCAGGAGGCAGAGGCAGGCGGATCTCTGTAAGTTCAAGGCCAGTCTGGTCTACATGTTGAGTTCCAGGCCAGCTGGGGCTACAGGAAGACCATGTCTCAAAAAGACAAAAAAAAAGTAGGTACAGTCAGACTCTGACATCCTAGGGATGTAGGCATAAAGAGTGGATGACAGGGTATCAGCACAGGCAGTACCACTGATGACCAGGCCAGCTGCTGCTCACTGGGGCACAGGTTCAACTGTGTTGAGTCAATTTTTTCATAGAAATGTAAAATTAGCATATGTCCCCAGATGGGACTCACACTGAAGCCCAAAGAAAAGAATGATTCATTCAAATTCATCTGGATAAAAAAGATTCCTCAGGAAGTGGCAGAAACTATGGCTCCCGCCCCCCAACCAAGCTCCTATTTTGTGTCTTTTAAGTCTACAGAACTGATGAAAACCTGAGTTCAGAACGCTATCTAGCGTTAAAAAAAGATTAAAGGTGAGTTTGGGCATAAGATACAGGTAAGCGAGACTCTGGCAAAGTTATGGCCTTATCAGGGAGTCTGCTGGTTTGGGCAAACACTGCCCATCCTTGGAAAAGACAGCTGGCTTTGCTGAGGGCCGGCATGTAAAGAAGCTAAACAGTGGCTTGCTGTAAAACGGAATTACTCTGAATAGGATTTGGAGGACAAGTCTCACTACAACAGTTATTTTGGAAAAACAATGCTTTCATCTACTGTCATTAGACAAATGTATACCTTACAACCTAAAACTCTGCTCCTAGATACAGAGCCAAGTAAATGCACAGGAAACATAGAAACAAGGAGTGTACATCAGGGTGAAGAACTGGAAGAAACAGTTTATCCAGTGCCAACAAACAGACACCTTGCTGAACACTAACTGCAGACTTCTGAGAAACGAACTCTAGGATATATATACAGTTCACAGACAGAAAGCAGAAGAAAACAAGCCAGACACAAATGCCACATACTATGCATTTCTCATTGCACAACATGTAAAACAGCAACATTTTTCTCAGCTGGAAGCCACCCTTCCAAAGGGCTTGATGGGTGGCCCCTGGGCACTGTCACACCCTGTCCAGGTGGGAAACAATGGGCTTGTGTTACCGCTCACTGAACAAAACATTTATAACCTGTGTTGTTTTCTGTATGTGAGCCGTACTTCAAGATAAAAAAAATTAAAGTGACAAAACTACACAGTTACACGGTCACTCTGAAGCTGTGGAGCTACGCTTAGCATTTTGTACTTTCACTATCAATTACATTTTTATGCACTTACCTACCAGGAAAAAAGAAAAAAATAACACGAGTTAAAACTAGAAAAACAATTCGCTTTATATGCCTTTCACGTGTGTCCATCTGCCTGCATCTAATAAAAATAGCACCAAGAATTCCACAAGAATTCTATCTCTAATGCCTTGGGCCCCTGCCCAGATGAGCCCTAAGCAATTTCTTTACCTTTCTCAACCTGGTATGTCTTTTTTAAAAAATTTATTTCATGTATATGTATGCCTGCATATAAGTGCACCCATGTCATGCAATGCCTGTGGAGACCAGAAGAGGGAGCCACGTGGGTGCTGGGATATGAACCCAGGTCCTCTGCAAGAGCACCTAGTACTCTTAACAGCTGACCCATCTCTCCAGTCTCTCTTTTTTTTTTTTTTTTTTTTTTTGTGGGGTTGGGAGGGTGTTCTTTTTGAGACATGTTTCCCTGTAGCCCCAGATGTACTCGCTATGTAGACAAGCCTCAACCTACCAAGTGCTGGGATTAAAGGCATGTACCACCATGCCCAGCTTCAACCTCATATCTTTTTTTAAAATTTATTTACTTAATAACCACATAATTAGAAGAAGCATTTCAGTACAACAGCACTGACATATTCAATAACAATTTCCAGAGCTAAGATGTATCTCTTTCGAAATTGGCTGTAAATTTTTAGGTTTACAGTTGAATTAATAGTTACATAATATTGTACACCAGTATAAGGTATAAAATTAAATGAGGTTTTTAACCTTTAAAAAAGATCTCCATTTCATTATTAAAATACACAGTTTCATACCAAAAAATTCATTTTTAGTGCAATTAACACTAAGATGTTTGCACATGCGTTTCTTATCTGTATATATCAGATTATTACTGGTCACAGTAAGTTACTTTCTGAGCTCCTTGGCATCTGAGCACGGATATAAAGTCATCAGGTAGATTTCAATGGTAATGTTTTTCACATCTACTAATTATTAAGGAGCAAACTTTTATGCTTTAAAGATTTATTATTATTATTATTTTATTTATATATCCACTTCCCAGGTAGCTAACATATTCAGTAATACACTGCAGAGCAAGGATACATCTCTTTCAAAAGTGGCTATAAATTTTTAGGTCCACAGTTGAATTAATATAGTTATACAATACTGAACTCAGTATAAACCCCAGGGAAGGTGCTGGTACCAGGACACTGGACTCAACCTCGTATATCTTAATGCCATCCAACGTGGTCCATGGCACTGTTTCCTGAACCCTGTAATTTTCATGAATGAAACTCACCAAAAACACACACCCACATGTAAAAATGTGCTTATCTTTGTTAATTAATTAAATTTGCCTTAAAAGCAGAAGAAAGCTTGAGGATTTGTTTAGGGTGTGGTGGGTGGGGGTGGGAGGCAGAGGCAGGCAGATCTCTGTGAGTTCAAGGCCAGCCTGGTCTACACAGTGAGTTCAGGCCAGCTGGAGCTACAGGGAGACCCCGCCCCCAAAAAAAAAAAAAAAAAAAAATCAGAAATGGGATACTTGTCTAGCATGTGAGGCTCTAAGTTCAATCTTGAGAACTACCAAGCCAATAAATAAATTAGATAATAAATGTAATTCAAAGCAGGATGGTACTTCTCACCTAAAAAACAGACACTGTTGTAGCACCACCTATACTGTACATGGCATGAGTGGCCAGTTGCAGGCACAGAAGGCACTCACCAGCTGAGTTGATGATGTGTCTCAGTATCTGAAGGGTACCCACTCGGAGCCTCTCATTGTTGGTGTCCAGCTTGGGCAGCAAAAAGGCCAGCAGGCGGTCAGGAGAGCAGCAGGCTGCAGAGCAACACTCATGTCAAATGATTTCTAACAGTCTCTTTGCTCCTAGCTCCATGCCAGTACCTCAAACTCCCCTGGACTCAGTTTATCTGTATCTGCTATACAGAGCTTCTTGGCACAGGGAGCAAGAAAGACTCACTCACTGTGAGGAATGCGGGAAGCTGGAGTGCTGGCTATCAGTTTCACACCAATACTTTCTTGGGGTGCCTGTCTAAGGTGAAGGGCTGGAGCACAGGCAGCTTCAATGTCATAGGGTCAGCACCACCCAGCAGGGCCACCAGGACCAATGTGCTCATTCCAGCTCTCAAACTCATGGGAAGACCACAAGGGAACCCTCGGAGAACTTTCTGCCTCTGGGCTGGTTTGCAGCTGGAAAGCAATTCCCAAGCACGCATACATCCAACACTGTCAATGGGAACCTCCTGACGACGACCGTGGTGGGTTCTTTCACTGACAGTAAACGTTGGCCTGATACCCTGTCAGAATGTCTGCCAACCTGCCCATCACACCCTAGGCCTGCTGAGCCAGTCCCTGGCCTCACCACCCTCAGGGTCCAGGTGGACACTCATGTCACTTGTCTTCGGCAGCAGGCAGGTCGCGAGACTCAGCCTAACCCTCAAGCTAACAAGAAAACCCTGACAAGTGCAGGGTCAGAGCTGGCAGACCAGGCTTCTACTGTCTGAGACCACCAGGCTCCAGTGTAGGCATTAAGAGATGATGTCACCTCTGGCCAGGGTCAAGTATGACCAGACTGATGGCCAGAGTCAGGAAGTCAAATGTTGACCAGGGGCCAAATCAAAGGGTGAAAAGGAGTAGGCTGTGGATGAGGGCAAAGACGGAGTATACGCAATAGGAAATGGAAGCCTCTAGAACAGGCGTAGGGCTGTGGAGAGATCAAGTGTTTGGGGCTTGTCTAGGGCCAAGGCCCTAAACCTTCTTCAGCCTGAACCATGTAGCTAAAATTATCCTCTATAAACAGCGCAACTGGCCAGGCATGGTGGCACATAACTATAATCCCAGCACTTGGGAGCCTGAGGGAGGAGGATCATGAGTTCAAAACCAACTGAGCTACAAAGTCAGCAAGACCCTGTTCAAGAGGGCAACTATCTCAGATATGTCCTCTGAGGTTTCCCTGCACAGACACCACCCTAGTCACCAACTCACCCAGCACCGTGAAGCAGCGCAGCACCTCCTTCTGGCTGCTCATCACCAGGGGGCTGGAGGACTCCACAGGCACACAAATCTGCTCCAGGGAACAGGATGAACATTATGGTGACAGACACACTCTTGTCGCAGGGCCCTGCTGTGGGGCAGGTAAGCAGTACCTAACCTGGGGTACTGTAAAGGTATTTTGTGTTTACTTGGGGTTTTTCTTGCTGCTGCTGCTGCTCTTGTTTTTAGGGTGGTTTTTTTTTTTTTTTGGTCTTTTTGAGACAGGGTCTCCCTGTAGCCCCAGCTGGCCTGGAACTCATTATGTAGACCAGGCTGGCCTTGAACTCACAGAGATCTGCCTGCCTCTGCCTCCTGAGTGCTAGGATTAAAGGTGTGAGCCACCACGCCTGGCTTGCTTTTGTTTTGGGATTAAATGTGTGAGCCACCACGCCTGGCTTGCTTTTGTTTTGTTGACAAAGGATTTATGTAGCCCAGGCTGGCTCTGAACTATGTAGCCCGGGCTGGCTCTGAACTCACAAGCCTCCTGTCTCAGTCTCACTAGTGCTAAGATTACAAGTGTGTGCAACCTCACTAGGGAGAGGTAAATACTACTGAAATCTGTTAAAAATCAGTATTAGTGTTCTAAGTTCTATTTATTTTATTTATTTATTTATTTTTGTCTTTTTGAGACAGGGTCTCCCTGTAGCCCCAGCTGTCCTGGAACTCACTATGTAGACCAGGCTGGCCTTGAACTCACAGAGATCTGCCTGCCTCTGTCTCCCGAGTGCTGGGATCAAAGGTGTGTGCCACCACACCTGGCTTATTTTTTAATATTTTATTTATTGTTTTTATTTTACGTGTAAACATATATTCCCTGCACGTAGGTAGGTTCACCTTTGCTGTGCAATGCCTACAGAGGACAGAAGAGGCTGTAGGATCCCTGGAACTGGAGTTATAGGCAGTTGTTAGCTGCCATGTGGGTGTTGGGATTCGAACCCGGGTCTTCTGCAAGAACAGTCAGTGTTCTTCACTGCTGAGCCATCTCTCCAGTCCCAGTTCTATTTATTTTTATTTTGCATGTATGAGTGTTTAGCCTGAGTGTAGGTATATGTACCATGAATGTGCCTGATGGCCAAGGAGGCCAAAAGAGAGTGTTAGATCCCCTAGAACTGGAATAACACATGTTTGTGAGTTACCATGTGGATACTGAAAAGTAAACTTGGGTCTTCTGTAAGTGCAGTAAGTGCTCTTAACCACTGAGTCATCTTTCAGTTCTGATAAGTTTTTAAAATTTTATTTATTTATTACTATTATTATTATTAGTGTGTATGTGTGTGTATGATAGAGGGCACATATGCTATGGCGTGCATGTGGAGATCTGAGGACAACTCTGTGAAATCAGCTCTCTTTCCATTTTAAAGTGTGTTCGAGGGATTAAACTTAAAAGTCATCAGGCTTGAGTTGCAAACAACCTTTACCTGCTGGGCCATCTCACCAGTCCAATGATAAGCACTCCTGATGTTAGAGGGTGGGGCAATTTGATTACCTCATTGGATCTTCCCTTGTTGCACAATGACTGTCAAACACCCAGCCACCCAACACTTATGCAAGACACAGTTGCTCTGGCTCTGAAAGGTGAAGTCCCTGTCAGAATTGCTTCAGAGTTGCACTAAATTTTTTGTTTTGACAAGCCTTGGTGAACTCCACATGACTCTGAAACCACTTCAACCTGGACCAGAGAAGAGTATGTCCACTTGTGGTCTATCAGAGGAACTGCTATGGCTGGTGCTAAAGTGTTAATTAATACTGTGATTCCTTCCTTTACATGGGAGGTTTTCTGTGATTGGTATGAACATCTCTCTTCTGGCTATATAATTAGGATAAGCGAAGTGAGTCGGCTGGGAGACACCAAAACAGTCTGCACAACATCAGACCCAGCAACAAGCTTCCCTTATGGCCTTTTCTGGCCTAGTGTGAGCTGAGCAGGTAACAGGAATGTAGCAGCAGAGGTAGAATGGTGGCATCAATGGCAGGGGCGGCAAAGCAGCTGCAGCCAGAGCTGAGCAGTCTGCAAGCCATGCTGCCAAAGTGGCCAGGAGGCTGGATGCTTGACAGCTGAAGAGGCAACTGAAGGGGATCTGAGAGCTGGGACTAAAGAACAAAAGGCTGTGAAGACACACTGTAGGCTCTGGTCACTGGAAGAATCCTGGAGAGCTGCCAAGTCTTTCTGGCCAAAGGTCTCAGACATCCCAGGCCTGGGATCTGTAACACTGGCTGCTAGTAGGGTCCTGCTGTCCAAGGCCTGAACAAGACCTGTAACACTAGAAGGTGTGGCTTCCAGCTGTTTCTGCCTACCCACCCCCACCCATTGCTACTGTCAAATGCTAACGTATACAGAACCTGCCAGAGGCAAGGGTGGTAGTATACCTCCGTAATTCCAGCATTCTGAAGGCAGAGGCAAGAAGGATGCTGTAAGTTCAAGGCCAGCATAGGCTTGAGAGAGAGAGAGAGAGAGAGAGAGAGAGAGAGAGAGAGAGAGTCCCTGTCTCAAAAAACAAAACAAGGGCTGGAAAGATGGTGCAGTAGTTAAGAGCACTGGCTGCTCTTGCAGAGGAGCCGGGTTTGATCCCCCCAGCACCAACATGACAACTAACAACGATCTATAACTCCAGTTACAGAGGATCCAATGTCCTCTTCTGACCTCCACCAGCACTGCATGACACAGGTGCATTTAGGCACATGCAAGCAATGCACTCATACAAATAAAATAAAAATAATAAAATATTAAAAAACACAGGTGCATGGTGGTGCATGCCTTTAATTCCAGCATTCGGGAGGCAGAGGCAAACAGATCTCTGAGATTGAGGCCAGCCTAGTCTACATATGAGTTCCAGAACAGTTGGAGCTACAGGGAGACCCTGTCTCAAAAAGACAAAATAAAAAAAAAAAAAGCAAAACAGCAACGAAAAAACAATGGAAAAACAAAACACTGAGCTGTCAAAAACCAGCACTGGGCAAGCTTCTTGCCTGCCCACAGTTTCTATCTGGGTGGAACAAAAGGATACCAGCCAGCTGATTGGTAACAGAAGGTACCTACAAGGTAACAGTGTACCCATAAGACACTGGGTGATGAACAGTGGGCCCATTTCTCCAGCCCTTTCTCATCCAAGAACAGGGAGGAATGCCCACGTTCTGACTGCAGGACACACATGCCCATCATCATAAGTACTTCAGAGTTCAGCTCTAGCCTCATACTGTTGGCAGAGGGGTGGGAGAGACACTATATGAACATGTGGCTAGCATTCAAGTCTCAAGGGAACAGACCTGAGATTCTATTCCTATCTGCAATAGAATAAACCCCACAGTTAACTAGAAAGGAATGTATCCCCCTAGAAGATACCACAGAGGAGCTGAGACCTCCAGCCCACAGCTCTGGGAGTGAGACCTATGAGAAGTGTGACCCCAGCGCCAGCCCCAGGGCAGGCTACAATGCAGGCTTCATAATACAGCCCTGGTTGGCAGAGAGACCGCAGTCCCAGAATAGAACAGGAGAACCAGAACCAGCTGGGCGACTCTCACATCCTTGATTACTGCGACAATAAGCTAATGGAAGGTGGTTGTTTCAGGGGCATTTTCTAGAGCAAAGACAGAGCTGGATTCTCACTGATAAACACCAACAAGCAGAAGGAAAACAATCACTACACATAAAGGCTTTTTGTTTGTTTTGTATCACAAAACCTCAACTACGACATAAATGATGATGTAAAAATTAAACAGTTTTGCACGGTATACTATAGTGTCAAAAGAGAACAGTGGGCCAGTAAGATGGTTCAGCAGAGAAAGGCACTTGTCACCAAGTTTGACCACCTGAGTCTAATCCTCTTCCATCTGGTGGAAGGAGAGAACTAACTTCTCCAAGTTGTCCTTTAACTTCCATACCCACACAGTGACATGCGCGTACCCACACACAACCAACAATAATAAAATGTAATTAAAAAGTATATACAGGGGCTACAGAGATGGCTCAGTGGTTAAGAACACTGGTTGTTCTTGCAGAAGACCTGGGTTTGAATCCCTGCACCCACATGGCAGCTAACAACTGTCCATAACTCCAGTTCCAGGGGATCCGATGGCCTCTTCTGTCCTCTGCAGGCATTGAATGACATGGGTACACTTACCTACATGCAGGCAATACACTCATACACATAAAATAAAAATAATAAATATTTTTTAAAAAGTATATACAATAATTTTGGGGTGGAGAGATGGTTCAGCGGTTAAGGGCACTTGCTGCTCTTGCAGAGGACCTGAGTTTGGTTTCTAGCACTATGCAGGCAAAACACTCATACACAAAATAAAAATAAAATATTTTCAAGTATACAGTTTTTAAAGATAAAGGAATATATACATTACTTACATACATATATATTATATATAGTATAGAATACATATTTATAGCCAATACAATCAATATTACAGATCAATAACAAAAACTAAAACTCAATAGCAAAATAAAACATGAATGCACAGGAAACAACATTTTTTCTACCTTCTCTTCTTTGAAGAGTTCATTAGAACTCCTGGGAGGGGGGCACTAGTGTGCTCTGTTGTGATGTGGAGGTGAGTGGGGTGGGAACTGGAGATATCACACCTGAAACTTACATCTGGGTTAGTGAGAGGCAGAGAGTATCCTTCAGCATGGGGCAACATGGAGCCACAGAAATGTTTACTTTTTAACCACTGTACTACTTCTCGGGATTTTGGTTTGTTTTTGTTTCTTTTTTGAGATATAGTCTCACTATTTATCCCTGGCTGGCCTGGAACTTGATATGCAGATCAGGCTGGCCTCAAACTCACAGAGATCTAACCCTGGAACACTGAGATTGTCTCAAAAAGACCAAAAAATTAAATAAATAAATAAATAAATAAATAAATAACTCTTGATTTATAAAATTTCCATAATGAGAACTACTGAAAGACATCAAGACCAAAATAAAAATGGAACTTAATGAAAACAATTAAATGTGTAGACACAGGATATGGCACAAATTCAGTAACATTAGCAATCAGGGGAGGAAATACATCTGGAGG